GCCGAATTTTATTATTACTTCGTAAACGCCGTCTTTAGCGCAGACAATGATACCTGACCTTTTTCGAGTCTTCTCATTTAGCTTTCGCCATTTGCCCGCCTACTCAACTATACGTTTCGCGTCCTACTTTAACTATTATAAAGCGACTTATTCCCTCTTATTTTGTAGAATAGCAAAGATACGGGATCGGAAGTACGAGGTGCCTGCCAACTTTCTCAATGAGATGCACAAATGGTCTTTAGAATGTAAGTAAGGGGATTGAATGTAAACAGTGGAAAAGAATTAACAAATGTCAATCTTTGGGCTCTTTCCGAGATTAATGCTGCATCTGGAGAATTTATCTCTAAAATAAAGTTTATAGAAAGTTTTAGGGAATAAAATCTTCGAATTGTGTACAAGGAAGATAGTGAAAGTTTGTGGAATAAGATTACAATTAAGTAAAAAATAAAAAATTATTTTTGCATTTTCTTAAAAAAGAAAAATTATTGTTAATTTTCCAAAAGGCCCAATAATTTTTACGCATTGAAAACAGATTTGTAGAACATAACAAATAATAAATAAATTTGCATAAATTCGCATAAATGTAGATAAATGAATTTAATAAGTAATTTTATTGTTGACAGCTATTGCACGGGTCGCGTTGGATGTGCGCTTGGGTTGCTTGGACGATGACGCGAACGCAGAAACGCAGCGGCTCATAGACGCATTGATCACGTTCTTTAAAAATGTGCCTGTGCTGGAACTAAAGATACCTTTTTGGAAACTCTTCAATACACCCACGTGGAAACAATATGTAAATTCTTTGGATATCATTGTGAGGTAAAATCTCGATCGGAACGTAATTCTATCGTTCACCATTGTATATGTTTGAAGAAAATCGTTATTACGCTTCTTGAGTATCTATCGAGAGTTAAATGTAATACAATATCAATATATATATAAATTTATATTATATAAATATATGGCTTTTTTTACAAAGGATAAGTCAACGAAAACTTTCCACTCCGTTTTTTTGTAAGCAACTGATTTTTGCGAAATGTGTCGACACACATAAATTTTGTTTTTTAAAGGAGATATATAATTGTGATAAATTTCGTGTTGCTTGATTAGGGTGTCTACCCCTTCAAAAATCTTAAATGGCAATAAAAATCAAGTAACACATTGTTTTACAATTTAATTCTCTTTACAACTGTCTTTTTTTTTTAATTTGGTTACAAAAAATGGAATGGGAAGTTTTCGTTGGTTTTTAGTACCATATCGAAATATACGGCCGCCGCGCTGTCGAGGGCCAAGAGCAACGTGGATTCGGACAAGGAACTGTCTCTTTTGGAGAGAGTTCTAGCTCGCGAGGGTGACACGAAGGTAGCCTCTATCCTCGCTCTAGATTTGTTCCTGGTTGGCGTCGATACGGTAAACATTTTGTAATTTGAAATTTTCCTATCAAACGATTCATATATGAATGTTATAGAGTTAAGCTATTTGTAGACCTCGACCGCGGTAGCCTCGGTGCTCTATCAGTTAGCGCTACATCCGGAGAAACAGGCTTTGGCGTACGATGAAATCCGCAATGTTCTCCCGCATCGAGACACGCCTCTCGAGGTGACAAACACCGACAATTTAAAATACTTGAAGGCATGCATTAAGGAAACTCTAAGGTTCGTTAAGATCGAGTGGATAACCGATAAGTTGATAAACGTGTGATTCAAATCCATTGTTTTGCAATAAAGTTAACGTTGCTTACGAATGACTCGTATTCTCGACAATAATTATTATCAGCGTGTATTTCACGATTTATGTTTTTGTCTCGTTTAGAATGTATCCAGTTGTCATAGGCAATGGGCGAAGTACAACCTCGGATATTATAATCAGCGGCTATTGTGTACCGAAAGGAGTAAGAGGGAAAGCTTTCGCCAATTTAAATTTGACAGTCATAAATCAGTACAATGCAATTGATGTTTAATGGCAATCTAAACCTAAATGTTAACTATACATAATTAAAATTCTAAAATAGAAAAAAAATTTATTCTATTTTATAACATAAAGTTAAAAAGTACAATCATTTATAATTAAATTTGTTAACGCTAAACAGTCTATGGGGATTTAAGGGATAATTAAAAGCTAGATCGTAATCAAGACCGAGAATTGTTTCTCAGGTGCACGTGGTATTTCAACACTACGTCATTAGCAATCTGGAGAAGTACTTTCCGCGAAGTAACGAGTTCCTTCCGGAACGATGGTTGCGCGACGACGGTGTCCGTCACGCGTTCGCCTCACTTCCTTTCGGTTACGGCAGACGAATGTGCTTGGGACGGCGATTTGCCGAGCTCGAAATAATTATCGTCATTAGCAAGGTGAGAGGCGACTTCTAATTGTCGGAAGTGCGCTAAAGTCCACGATTTAGAAAGAGGAAAGTTTTAATACCTATTCCACTCTCGCTGATTAGAGATCAGACTACCAACTTATTTTCTTCGGGTAATTGCATTCAAGAATGTAAACTATTTTGCGAGCATTCTGGGTAATTCAACGACTTTCATTTTAACGACAAATTTTTGCCGATGAATTTGAAGTCAATCTTACATAAAACGTTTACAAGTTACATATTTTATTTGTGGCATGAATATTTTGCAACCATTATATTTTATTTATATTTATCGCCATTATGGCAAGAATAATTATGTAACGCTAAGATGAGTTTTCGATGTGTTGTAAGCATAAGGAGAGCCGCTTATACGGTACAATGCAATTCTGCGATTACATCTTGTCGCAGAAATAAGCGTGCATTGCGCGACTTGCAACCGTAATTTTGCAATGTACCTACTTGTCATAGCAATTTTCTACTATTCTCGTAGTTTTGACGCTAACAATGCGTTTCATTGTCGTCCTATTATTGTATTGCATTGAAGAGCTTTCTCTGTGTTGATGAGATCAAAGAATATGTGTTTGTCTCTTGTAAAATCTTACAACTTTAGAAGATCTACAAAATTTTCGGGTATCACGTAGCGCCACTTTGCAAATTATTTCTAAATTTTTGAAAATTTTGATTTTTTTCTTTCAACAAATTGCTTGATCATACTTTATAGTTTCCAAAGTAACAAATATATACAAATATATACATTTCTGGTTGCGATTGCCAAAAAGTTAAAAGTTGACCAACTTTCTTTTGGCAACCGCAACTGGCAATCGTAACCGGAAATAGCACTTTTGAACTAGCAATTGCCATCCTTTGCGACTGGCGACGGGTCATTTGCGACGTATTGTGAAATGGTTTTTACTTTTACTTTTCTTAATCTATGTAGAATAATATAATTAATTGCTCGAGAAACTCCTACATGTGCAATCATATATTATATATCAGAAAATACGGTCCCCAATTGTATTTATAGTACAGCAACTCTTGGAACAGAGCGTTGCATTTTAACAGTATGTAACTTTAAGTTACGCGCAATAAAATATATTATAGTTATGTAAGAGTTAAATTGTGATATAGTAGCAAGTTTTTTAAACTTTCTACGTTAAAAATCGTTTTTCTCTGTTTCAGATTCTTCAGTTTTATAAAATAGAATATCACCATGAAAAGTTGGAGTATTACATTAATCCAATGTACACGCCGAAAGGACCGTTGAAGCTGAGATTTATCGAGAGATAATACCTCTATTTCTTTCTAATGGAAAGGAAAAAGAACGTAGTCAAAAATACTATTTGTTGTAAGTTTTCTTCTATATTGACGTAGTTTTACATAATCTTGTATTTAGTTTCTAACGCAAAACTTTACATGCAAATAAATAATTGCGCTATACAAGTTGTACGTTAATGTAATACAATATTACAACGCATTTATGATAAATGTTACTTCTACAATTTATACTTATGAAATAAACCCATGTTTGTAATATAATCGAACATTGATATATTACAATGTAGCAATTACAATTGTTTTTTATCAGCATTAATTTGCAAATTTTGTTTTAACACGCTACTCTAAATTTATTTTACAATATTACACGATTTGCGGGATGCTATCTTTTTATTATTTTAAATTTGAGTTCTCCATCGGGCGCGTACATGAATGTGACTTTATATTTTAGCGGTTCGTGGTGGTACTCCAGTTTATACGATCTCAGGAGCTGAAAATAATATCGTTATAATAATATTTGCTGTTTTACATTGTTAGAGCAAATTTTTATAAGCCCAAGTAAAATCAAACTTAAAAACTAAACATTTAGTTTAAGAAAATTTACTATTAAAGTGATAAGATAAGTATACACATTAAATCAAATATCGGCAATGCAATGAGATTGTTCAAGCTGGAGGACACTTTCTTTGCCGTTCCCGCATGGGACCATGCGGCATTCCCTATTTATAGAAATATATATAAAATACTATACCTTCGCGAGGAGTACTTGCATCTCGAGATCCGCGAATCGTCTGCCCAAGCACATACGTGCTCCGTAACCGTATGGCAGCGACGCGAATGGATGCAAAATCTCGTTATCAGAATCTTTGAGCCATCTCGCAGGCTTGAACGTCTTCGCGTCCGCGACGTATTCCTCCATATTACCGGTGACGAGTGTTGGGAACACGACTTGAACCTAAAATTATATTAATTGTAAAAAATTGTAAGTATATTAAACACCATAAGGTATTTTTTACGAATATCTTGAGCGGTAGAGGGATGTAAAAATAAAATATGCTGCGTACTCCTTTTGGAATTTTATAGCCGCAAATGACGGTGTCGTTCTGCAACGTTCTGCCGTTTCCGATGACAGTGGAGTATACTCTGAAACCCATACAAGATCTTTTTAATTACAAAATTAGGCTACCATCAGTATATGTAAAAAATTAAATTAACTGTTTAATAAGTAATTATTATCAAAGTTTATTAGTGCTACGACGTTTAATATTACCTAAACACTTCTCGGATGAAAGCTTTCATGTAAATTGCCTGATCCAGGTGGCTCGTTGTGAGAGAGACGGATGGATCTGGGAGTATTTGCAACAGCTCTTGATGTATCTTTTCCTGCTCTTCCGGTCTAGTCGCTAATTGATACAATATCGAACATACCGCCATCGATATCTGCAATATACATCGTATACATGTATACTTTTAATTACGATGTTGTTACACGTACGATTATTGCAATTGTAATCTACGATATTGTGCAACTTGCCGTGTCAATGCCGACCAGTATCAGATCAAGAGCGAAGATGCAGGCTATCTTAGGGTCTGTCTCTTTGGCTAAAATTCGCTCTATCAGCGACAAGTCGCTTTCGTCCACGGCTTTCTTACTTTTAAGCCTGACCATCGCCGCGTCAAGGTACTTCATGCATATCCTAAAATGAAACATAAGTATGTTGTCACGCTTCATGAACCACTCGTTGCGTGTCAGGAATGAATCATCACCGAGCTAGCTGCGAATTAAATTAAGTTAGAAAAAGATTTATGTAACATCGAGCTTTTATGTATCACGAAATCAGGTAATGGCTCTGAAATCGAGCTTTTTCCGTTCCACTGATTTTCCGTAACTTTCTACTTCCAAACGCGTAGATATATATGTTAAATTAAATGATCTAATAAAATGCTCGAAAGAAGAAGAAAAAATTCACTTTTACGTGTTTAAATCTCAAATAAAGAATTTATATGTTTCCCAATCTCATATCTCACAAAAATTACAATAATTGAACAAAAGAGACGGAATATCAAAGGATCATTAAATTTCTTTTTATTTTATATACCTCATCTAGATATTATACATATCTTTTTTTCCTTTATAGAATTCTTCGTCTAATTTACTTATTTCTTTTAAACTTACTCGACGAAATAATTCATATTGCGCACGTAACGGGTCCAGAGGGGCGTCGGGATGTATCTCCAGTACGGGGCTTTAAGTTCGAGCGAAGCGACATTTCTCAGCGCGAATTTGGCCGCATCGATAATCTTCTGCGGTTCGGAATCCGACGACAATGTGTCGCCTAAGCACCCAAGTCTGACATCGAGCGCCACACGGCCAATACCTGCCCGATCGACAAATGTATAATTCATAGTACGTTATAGCAAATGCTATCGTCATTGCACGTTCCAATAGCGGGAACGAGAAACTCGGAACGAATTTTCTTCCCGGTGAGAATTTTAATGCACAAATAATTTCTCTTTCGCCCGATTTCTCTCTCTTTCTTCCTTTGTGAAATAAATTGTGTTCTTATATGTACATAAAGTGTTACTAAGTCTTGTTAAATGTTAGACGTTTTACAGTTAAATATATACCCTTGTCATGATGCAAGAAACAATTATAAGAAGTGATTAAAAGTTATACTTCGCCACATATATACATATTTAGAAATATAGAAAATGCAATACGTAAGAGAAAAAAAAGCAATATTTAATATTTTATTCCGATTTACATATTAATTCTAAAGTGTTCTTTTCCAATTATTTCCTAAAATATATATCTCATCAAGTTCAATTACAATAATTTTATTACGAAATAATAGAGCTATAATTAATTCTACAAAACTTTCTTTCTAAATTATATTTTATATAATCGTATATCTGTACTCTTTTTATTCAACGTTTAATTAAAATAAGAACAATTTAAAATTATTCAGAAAGTTAGTTAATATTAATGATTTAGTTTAGACTACGCAGTTTCTATTTAACAAGTATTTGTGAATATAAAACAATTGTATTAAAAAAAATGTCAATAGAAGAAAAAGAACGGATATTTCAGTGCTAAATTCGTGCTTCGAATGGATTAGTAATTGAAAATAAATATCTAATTTAAATATTAAATGCCAGGATATTTTAAATACAACTTGAGCCATCTATTATTAGCATAGAGAGACCGTTTCGTGCAATATCCCGTCAACGTTGTCAATACTTGACACAAAAGATAAGTGGGTAATACTTTACATAAGATATAGAAACTAACATTCCAAAGCCCATTTATGTATCTCGTTATCGAAATCGCCGGGCAGTTCGTCGTTGTCTCCTTTAATATCCTCGATTCTACAACCCATTAAGAGACATCGCCAATATAATCAGCAATATATATGCTACATTTATTTCCTACTCTCTTTTACCTCCTTATGAAATCCTCCGTAACCACTTCGATCGGTGTTATGTATTTTCGCACAGTCTTCGGCTGGAGAACAGGTTTCTGAACGCGCGTGCGAAATTCCTTCCACGGCTCGCCATGTCTAATGGGAGAAATCAAATTAGCGTGCGATGAGTTCAGAATAAACTAACGGAACAAATAAAGACCGTTTGCCCGGCTCGGTTTCGTTGAGATATTATTGGCACAATAAAAAGTCGAGGACAAGGTCACGAAACTCGAGAGATTCTACACGTACCTACTCCACTCCATGTTATATGTTTATTTAACGAATTCCCGATAGCTTCGTTCATTTCTAATTCTGCAAATTAGCTTTTGAATAAATATGTAATTTAACGAGAGATATAGTAGAATTTATTTTTAAATTACATATTTATTTAAAAGCGAATTTATATATTTATATAAAATAAAAATCTATGGAGGATCTCTTGAATAAATCAAATAGGAATAATAAAAGAGCCAGGCGCGGTAATTAGTACGCAAATATATAATATTATTAGACAAATTAAATAAAATGATTAAATTAACGCAACGTTTCAACACTTATTTTGAGCCATCTTCAGCGCAATATTGCGTTTATATCATCTATTACAATTTATATACATGAAAGAATAGAATATAATAGATAATTTTTACTAAATAAAATAAAATTTATTTCTAAAAAATTTTTCAGATATATATTACCGTGCGACTTTCATCGAGAGATTAGATTTTAGATTAACGAGAAAGTTCTTCGTTTTTTCTATACATGGCCCATTATGTTTAAATAAATCGAAGGCAAAATTATTCCGATAATTATCGTTCACCTACACGCCAACGACGCCGGGTAAATCGCCGAAGAAGTCCTTGCGTACGACGCTCTTATAATGCACCAGGCAGGGCATGGAGGGCCGGAAGGGCGTAGGACCCTCTAGCCGGTACACCTTCTCGATCTCGTCGGCGTCGTAGACAAAGAGCAGATCGGGGCGGCCCATCAGACCGCTCAGCCGCACGATTTTGCCGTACTCGTCGTAGAACATCTGCGAGATCTTGCCGACGTCCGAGATCTGGTACTGGCCGATCAGCGGCAGCAGCCGCCAGGCGTTGCCTAGGATCGGTATCGGCCGCGGTCCCGGCACCTCGTCGTACGGTCTGATGGACGAGGACGCGATCCCGGGGGATGACGATGAGGACGCATGAGGACACTCGGACGTGGACGTGATCGTGTCGCTGCAGAAAACCCGAAGCGCGTCCCTTCGAAGAAGCGACTCGCAGGGTTGCAACAAGCGGCGTCGCATCCCGCAAACTCGTAGCGGCGGTTTCATTCTGCAACCCCCGGCCGTTATCACCTCTCTTTAATCGGAGTATACAAATACCTGTGTCGTTATCAAAATAAAATCGCAAGACTAGCGAATTATCAGCGAAATACACGGAAATTATAATTAACGAGACCAGCTTTAATTGTGTTACCTTGTATGATTATTATTTTATGTGGTTATTTGCTTGTTTCATTTTTTTTGTCCGAAATGTATATATTCATGAAAGGAATTTTATCATCGA